TAAAAAATAATGTGGATAACAGAAACAGTAAACTTTTTTAAAAATTATACAAAGTAGACATTTTCCTAGAAAAATTAAATTTACCAAAACTGGCTTATGAAGAAGTAGAAAACTGACAGAACTTAGTGACAGAAAAGAGATGGGGAATGAAGGAGATGCTGAGGATGACTTTTAAGTCTCTAATTTACTGGGTTTATGGATGTGAGCTCTATTTATTCAGAAGGAGGAAACTAGAAGAGAAGCATTGGAGCAGGCTGGATGACGTTTTAGTTGTTTTTTTGGTTATTTTGTTGTTTGTTAGTTTTGTATGTATGTATACATGTATGTATATATGGTGCTAGTGGTAGGGGTGGTGTGTATAAGTCATAATGTAATGGCTATGTTTGGATATGTTGAAATAGAGGTTCCTTTAAGAAATATAAATGGAGATGTTAAATATGCAGTTGGATCTAAGATCAGGAGTGCAGGAGAGATCTGGGTTGAAGATACCTATGGGAGTTACCTGTATTTAAATGATAAATGAAGCCACAGGTATGGAAATACCCTAGGCAGACAGAGCACTAGTTCTCAAAATGTGGTCCCTGAACCAGGCACCTAGGGCACCACCTGGGAATTAACAGAAATGCCAATTCTTAGGCCCACCCTGGACCTACTGAATCAGGAACCCTGAGAATGGGGTCCCCCAATCTGTATATTAACAAGCCCCCTTGTGATTCTGATGCAGGCTAAAATCTGAGAACCACTGATACAGAGTGAGACATCAAGAGGTCTTGGGCCTTGCCCTGAGAGCTCCAACATTTAACAGAGCACAGAGCAGAATGAATCATCCAGGATGACTAGGAACAACCGGAAGAGGGTAGTAAGAAAATGAGGAGAGTGTTTCAAAACAAGTGTTTTAAGAGGCAGAGTGGCAAAGGCTACTGAGATACCACTTACCACAGCTCCTGAAGGGACTGGAATGGGCTGAGAAGTGAGCAGGAGCTGAGAAAATAGAGATAGTAAGGACCGACAGTTCTGAGCAGTGTCATCAACGGGAGATAGAAAGGGTGGAGATGGAAGAGGTTGATAAGGGAGGATTTTTTAAAAATCCTCAACCAAGGATATTTTTTCCATTGCTTTTCAGAGAGAGTGGAAGGCGGGGGG